TACAGTTCCTTTCTTCTCTTGTAGCTTGTCACAGCCAATGGTAGCAAGAACATGACCAAAGTTCCTCGGGAGACATGGGCGATCGAAGCTGTCATGGCAGGGGGACCATGGCCACCACTCAGCAAGGCCTCTGGTTACACCGAAAATGGTGGGGAAGCCAAAATTTAGCAAATAACGACAGTTAGTGAACCTGAAAATGTGGGGAGATATCTCTCTTATCAGCCATTCGACTTATTTAGTTGTGTAAAACATGCCTGATCAATAGAAGTCTTGTATGGACGGTTAGGAGAATAATGTTCAATGTTTATATGTTACAAAATTTAAACAATTATTATTATTATTTTCAGCTACAAGTTTCATATTGTAATGCGGAACGTCCAATGGTAAAAAAAAAAAGAACTTTTTTTTACTTATTTTCCCTTTCTATTTGCACATTGACTTTCGGCGCCGTGCTTTGATCGGTGAAGCAAATAGAAAGTGCACGGTGGTGATTCAGTGAAGGAAGTTCGACCATGTACTCCTACAGTTGCGAGTGAAACGACGTCATTGGTGATCTTGCACCTTTATTTGTTTAATTACCTTGCGATATTGGAAAGTAGATATTTGTGTTTCTTAATTTAAAAGTTTTCGTCCCTCTAAAAGGTCACAAGGAGAAGACACAACCATATTTAAAGACAAGCAAAAGCGTAGCCTCCACACTGGAGCTCACCTTGTCTCAAGCAAAAAGCCCTAATCAGTAATCTCTCCCTGCTTCTCTTTACGAAACCCTAAGCTTCCTCTCTAAAAAAATGGGTCGCCGTAAAAACAGCAACGCAGCTCAAACGGCGACGAACTCTTCGAACAGATTCGAAGGAACCAAGATTCGATTCCATGACGCCGACGACGAGGAAGCCGCCACAGACAGCTCTAATCTCGACGAATCAATCGTCGCCATTGATAAAGCTACTGAAGACGTCTCCATGGGAGAACCCGACGTCTCCTTTGTCGATTGCGAAGGCGATGATGATAAAACCAGTGCTGATTATTACTTCGATTCTTACTCTCACTTCGGTATATTTTCTTCTTCCTTTTCTTTTATTTGAGATTCATTTTTTAAGTTTGCATCTTTTTGACTGTTATTGTCTTGCTGATTAGAAAACTATGGGAAAGTGAGGATTTTTTAGTATTGCTTTTGACCTTGCCTTAGAGGAAGCTTGGAATGAGAGAACAAGTTTCGATCTTTTCGAAAACCAGAGCTTGTTCAGCTCAATAGTTTGTTTATATCTAAGTAATTAATGAAACTCTTGTGGTCCCTGGTCAAATGGTTATATGTTTAATGGATTAGCATGTCCATATTTGGCAGTGCATTGAGTTGACTAATGTTAGAAGTTTTATACTACATAATTTTATTTATGTTCAGCGAACACTTCCTTATAAAGCTTATTTTGATTTTTTTGATTTTTTTTTTTTGTATGCAGGTATTCATGAAGTAAGTGTGCAGCACTTGGACTATTGAGCGGAGAGCAGTTTCTTGTTTGATTATTGTTGAGTTATTTATAGAGTATTTTTGCTTTGGTCACTGTTGCTTGATGATATGTTGGGTGCTGAATATCTGAATGAACGTTTGGTTGTAATTATTCTGTTTACTTAAGCTTACCCATGAATTAATTTGCTGTGCTTTCTATCCAAAAACATTTGTCGTTTGTGTACTGACCTTGTACGTTAAGGCAATTTATGAAAAATTACATTTGCAATTATTATTCTTGATTACAGTGGAAGAACTTGGTAGGGTCAGATAAGTTTTTCACTTCTTTTTTGTTTGGAAAATGGTTTTCCTCTATGATAACCTGACAGTCCCTGTATTTCAGGAAATGCTCAAGGATGTGGTGCGAACTAAGACATATCAAAATGTTATTTATCAGAATAAGTTTCTATTCCAGAATAAAGTAGTTCTCGATGTGGGAGCTGGAACTGGAATTTTGTCTCTGTTTTGTGCAAAAGCAGGGGCAGCACATGTTTATGCAGTATGTGTTTCAGATTTCCTTTTTCCTTTTATTTCTGTTTTTCATGTTGTTAATAATCTCATAATTCTTACACTCCTGGTGTCCCTTCCTTGTTTGCCTAATTTGGTTAATATTTTTCCTTTCCTAGGTCGAGTGCTCTCATATGGCTGATATGGCTAAACAAATTGTTGAAAAAAATGGCGTGTCTGATGGTGAGTTTATTAAAATTTGTTGTCTTTTACTGTATTGCTTCCACTATTTAAGCTTGCTGTTTACCCAAGAATTATTTGATTGTTACAGTTGTTACAGTTTTGAAAGGAAAGATTGAAGAAATTGAGCTTCCTGTCGCGAAAGTAGATATCATTATATCAGAGTGGATGGGTTACTTTTTGTTGTTTGAGAATATGTTGAATACAGTGTTATATGCCCGTGATAAATGGCTTGTAAGTCACTGCTATTATGGATACTATAAATATCTGTACGCGAGATATTTTCATGATTGTTGATATTGGAAATATGTTTTTGTACTTCTATTATGTAATAGGAAGTTCCTTGATGATTCATTTATGTGTTTGCTGTGTAAAACTGATATTCAACCTGGAGTGCATGCATGCATATACAGGTTGGAATTTCAACATAATATATGCTAGATTTGCCACATTTATGGAGTTGTATGTGTTACGTATGGCTCGGAGTTAGTTGTCGTCGAATGGCCATCAAGGCAGGTTGCCTTCTATGGGCTGTTTCTTGTGATATCGTATCTAGTGTACTGTTGTGCTACCAATCTACAAATTTTAAAAGAACGACAGCAATGTTGCGTGGTCTTATCATTATATCCTTGTCTGTCTTGTCCTTTCCTAATCTCCACTTGCTAGTATGTTAAGCTCTTTTTCTGGGTTGGAGGCACGTTAACTTGCAGCTATCACTCTGTTGGTTAAAATGCCTTAACATGATTTCTTAAATCATCTATTCCATGTTATGATTTGTACAAGGTGAGTTGTAAAATGGAGGCTTTGCGTCCGGCTATAACTTTTAATTGATCAAGACTTTTAACTCCATCCTTGTGTCAACTTCTCTAGAGCATTTTTTGCTTGTGCTATGTGTGGCTAGGTTGCATTTTGAACTTAATTTTATTGTTTTGCTCCTGAAAGCAAAATCTTGTTCATTTCATATATGCTAAATTCCTTTTATTCAATTTATTCCTTTGCCTGTTTCAGGTCAATGATGGAATTGTGCTACCAGATAAAGCTTCTCTTTACTTGACAGCAATCGAGGATGCAGAGTACAAAGATGATAAGATTGAATGTAAGCATAGTAGACTCCTAGATTGATATAAGTTTTTGTATTCATTCATATGTGGTTATGGCCTTTCAATCAGTTTTCTTGTTGTGGTTCATTGCAATTTGATTTCTGTATTCTTATATATACCCGTCTTTTCTCCATGGCATCGTCTTGCTACAGTTTGGAATAATGTTTACGGCTTTGACATGAGTTGCATCAAAAAGCAAGCTATGATGGAACCTCTTGTTGACACAGTTGACCAGAATCAAATTGTGACAAATTGCCACCTTCTCAAGGTGTGAAATACGCAGCACAAACGGATATTATTGTGTATCTATATATACATGCTTGGGGGAAATACTTTGACATAATGTTTTTGGAATTTATTGCATTTTTCATTTTGCTTTTCTTTATTCAGACAATGGATATCTCCAAGATGGCTCCTGGGGATGCTTCTTTCACTGCAGCTTTTAAGCTCGTTGCACAACGTGATGATTACATCCATGCTTTTGTTGCATACTTTGATGTATCATTTACCAAGTGCCACAAATTAATGGGCTTCTCTACAGGTTTGTCTCTTCATTCTTGCCCCACATCCATTTTGGTTCTAGTCAGTAGATTGCAAACTTTTCTATCATTCGGCCTTTCGATCTTATCTACAAATACAAAGCAGCAAGTGCAGCTTGGGAGTACTTTTGCCCTGGCAATACAATAATGCATCTGCTCAAGCCTGAAGTTTTGTGCAATTAATCTATGTTTCTGACTTCTTCAAATCAAAACAAAATGCAGGGCCAAGATCCCGAGCTACACATTGGAAGCAAACAGTCCTATACCTAGAGGATGTGCTAACCATTTGTGAAGGGGAGGCAATAGTTGGTAGCATGACTGTTGCACCAAACAAGAAGAATCCCCGAGATGTCGATATAATGGTCAAATATTCATTGAGTGGTCGACGATGTGTGATTTCAAAAGTTCAATTCTATAAGATGCGCTGATTGCCACAGTATTCATGACTATTAGCTTCTGCAACACAAGTAAATTTATGAATTTGGCAAAGGGATGAAGCACTGCTCCTATTTAATGCGTCTGTATTCTAGTTTTCCTTAATTGCCTAAGAATGAGATGCCCATAAATTGGTTTTTTCATGTAAAATGTAACGATAGTTGCCTGTAATTTTATTTAATTCTTTCCCATGAATGCATGAGAAATTAGAAACAAATAGATTTTCGATACTTGGAATGCCAAGATCTTTTTGGATATTTAACGTAATCCTTGCACCCTTTGCACTTGCTTTTTTTATTTTTGACTTAAAAAGTTTTCTCCCTTCCAATTGAAGGAATGAGGAAATAAGATCTGATGCAAATAGTGGCTATGGTGAAGCGGAGGCATTACTGGTGTTTATCCATGAACTTCTGATGTAAGTCCGGAATGCCAAATCCATTTTCATTGATGAGAACTTGAGCAGCACTTTTGTATAAGCTTAAGTTCATGTTATATCAATGGATGCATTCTGATATGGGTTTGTTAATAAGTCTGGAGTACCGTGGTTATAATGACAGACATGAGAAGTGACAGTTCGGCCGGAGCAGAGCATTGGGAATTACCGTAAATTCAACAGTAGGCCGCTGCATTTCCAAATATTCATTTCAGAATTTAGATCCATTTCAAGGCCAATCTATTGTGGAATTACCAGGCAAGTAAGCAATGGACAATACGCCAGAAACCAAAAGGAGCAGATAGGAAGAGAGACGTTTCAACATATTGTGTATTGAAATCAGCAAAAAGATGAAGTTGCTACTCATGACACTGTTAAGAGAGTCCCCATGGATGAAAACAATCATCAAAACTTCCCAAAGGGCGGGGAAAGACAAGTTTAGGGAAAAAGGGGATTTAATTCCTCTGATTTCCTACTGAATCAAATTCTTCCGAGTAAATAAGTAACAAAGCATATTAACACAGCGGAAGAAAACGTGCTAACCATTGGTATTCCTCACACGTAGAATTCAAGGTATCCTAAAGCTCTGCCTTGCTGGCCTTGGAACGGGCAGCACTAATTCCTCTCCACCACCTTTGTACCCGGTTGGAGACCTTGTTTGCATGTTTCTTCAATGATTCGCTTGCTTTTTTGACGCCTTTGCTGATCCTCTGCTTCCAATCGCCTTTTCCACTTTCTTGGTCTCTCAAAAGTTTTCCCTGAGAAAAGAAAAAATCATAATCAAAACAAGAACCTTATGAAAACTTTTATGTGCTGTGGAGTTTTGATAAGTACCAAATTAGATGGAAACTCTTCGTCGTCGTCGTCATCGTCATTTTCATCATCTGCATCTTCACCCAAATTCTTCATGTTCATCAGCTCCTCCCTTGAATACATTTTCATGCTGGGTGCCCCTGGCATACCCTGAATCACAATAAAATTAAACAATTAAACAGAGATCAGATATAAACATCAGGAATGGAGAGCATAACGTTTCGCAACAAAGCTTTGATCACCTCCATTGACCGTAACATCTTTTCCATTTCAGCCTCTTTAGTGGGTTTGGGTACAAAAGGTTCTCCCGGAGTCCTATCCTGTGCGCATCCATAAGAACAAATCAGTTTGATTGAGTTAATAAAGTTGACTCATCTTTTCCTCACACCGGATGTAAAAGAAAACATCATCAATGGAGATTGTCATACAACATAATATACAACAAACTCCTTGTAAAAAAAACACAGTTTACAAAGAAGAGGGTTTTAGAGCTATAAAGACACTGTTGTACCCAAGTAAAATAATATATGAGAAGTCAGGCTACTGTATTCTAAGCATTTTATGGGGAAAGTGAAATTAGATTCATATAATCCAAATTATGCAGATACAGTTCAAAAAGTACTGAAGTAACAATCCCATTCTTTGCCTCACAGCAATTCACCACAAAAACAGAAAGTAGTACTTCAACAAAATAACATAACAGACAGAAAATGAAATCTATCAAATATAAATGATGCTACAGAAGTAATGCTTCTAAAGGTTCTTAGAGATGAAGCATTTTATTACAGATGTGGAATCATGATGCGCTTGCAATTAATAGCCTACTGAAAACAGCAAGAAGGATTGGGTGACTCAGCCACATTTGAACCAAAGTTCAGCTATTCAGCTATTCCCACAGAATAAAAAGTGTCTACCTCATAGAGGATTAGTTCTTTCTTAATATTAGCCAGAAAACTACACATAATGACAAGAGAGGAGTTCAGAATAGCGAATCTGATTACCTTTGGTAGTGGGAGAGGCTTGCTTTTGCATGCCTTAGCCAGGTCATTACACAGATAATTGGCCAGCGACTCAATATCAGGCTTGGACGTGTATATATATTCAGCAACATCAGTATCAGAATACCCCATAACCTGGAAAAAAACATAAGCAGCCAGGCTTAACAGTCTTAAGATCACTTCTGCTAGAACCAAAGACCAAGTTTGATGGGCTGATATTTTAGTTAATACAATGATGTATCAATCCAGTTCTAGATAACAACAACGCACAAAAATTTGATATGCTCACAGAGAGGCTAGACTGCATTGATCTATCATAAGAACATCTTGTTTATGTTATCAAAATTCTAACCTCCTGACAAGCTTGCTCAATTGTCTTACACTCTGAATTGCAAATCCCTTCGGCATCCTGTTCGATTAGCTGCAAATAGATGAAACTTTCCTGAGTCAGCGTAGTAAATTAATTGAATTGATACACCTATTTTTCTCCACTCTTTATTCTCTTCATCATTACTCAGAATCGAAACATCAACAAGAACAACAAAGAAAATCCAAGAAAGCAGAAAAACCTTAAAATGCCACAACACTGAGGATTAATTTATCTTACCTCCAACTTATTTCCTTGCTCTACTATATCAATCTTCAAAATCCAATCAGCTTCCTCCTTCTTCAAATTACAAACGTTCTCCGCGATCTCAATGATTTGATACTCTGAGATCTAACAACCCACCAAACCAAATAGAAAATTTATAATTAAAACAAAAAAAAAAACCAAAAACAGAATTCAAAGATAGAAAATTTAGACAATAAAAAGCAAACCCAGATGATAAAAAGACCTTCTTGGGAGAGATCTGGGCTTGTTTTGTTTGTACTTGTTGGTACAACTGTGATGCCAGCTTCTCACAAACTTGACATTTGATGTAAGGAATATCTTCTTTTCTCGCAACTGCCACTGGCTTCTTCGCACATAGAGAGACAGGCACCCACGTTGAAAATAACAAAACTGATACAAGAAGAACTAAAATTTGCTTCATCTTTCCCATAACACGCTCTTGATTGTAACAAACGCTTAGCTGAACTCAAAGAGTTGTTAGAAAAGATCCTTTTTAACGAACTGATCGAAGTGGACTTGAAGTTTATTGTTTTAAGAAAGAAAATAACTGATACGTGTTTCGCTGCATCTGATTGGTTGCTTTGGGCTTTTAAAACATGGGGTCCAATTTTATCAACCAATAGGATTCGAGAATACACGCTGTTCTGGTTTTTGGTGACCCCAGGGAAGACTTCGCTGACTTGAGTTCTCTTTCTGATCAGAGCCGTCCAAACTTCATAGTGGGACACACTCATTTATGCTTACGTGGAAGAATCATGCAAGAACAGTATGAACTGGAGAGAACCATACTGAAGGATATCTGAAACCCACCTAAAACCCCACATTGAGAGCCTCCTAAGCTGAGCTCTTTAGGAAATCAAAGCTTAGCTCTTGAAACCTTCCCTTATTCTGACACTTACAGTTCACAAATTTTAAGCTTCTAACTGACGCCATGGCTTTATCTCTGAAAGATTCTGCAAATTCCCCAAAACCCAATTTTCTGATAGGTGAAAACTACCAACTTTCTCTAAAAGAATCCCTGGAAGCTGTCCTAGCTGAAACCCACAAAGAAACCCCAAATTTCTCTGTTTTCATTGATAAATTCTATGATTTAATGCAAGCAAAGATTGACCCACCTCTGGAATCCATCTGGGTATACTCTGCTTTGTCGTTTCGAAGCCATGATTTTGCAAATGAAGATCCGTTGAATCAATTATCAATCATAAAGGATCTCTTTCAGTTAGTTTCTTCATGTTCAAGTCCCTGTAGTTCTTCTAAAAGCATAGCATTGCTTGCGCCAATTGTTTTAGAGGTTTATAAGTTAGTTGTGGAAGTACTAGGAAAAGAGTTGGGTTCAAAGAGGGAGAAGAAAGTGATTAAAAGGGTAAAGTCTATGGTTGAAGTGATTATTGGCTACATTAGCATGTGCTGTTGTAAGGAATTGAGTGAGGAGAGTGAAGGTGTTGATGTGAATTTGGTAATTCCGTTTGAGGATTTGGTTTCTATTTGGATGGATAGAAATGCAAATTTACAATCTTTTTTGCCGTTTTTGAGTGATGAGATTTGTAGAGTGATTAGGGAAAGAGGGTTTGATGTGAATTACTTGGCTGGTGTAGTTATGGTGGAGGCATTTTTGTTGAAACTTTGCTTGGATTTAAGGCTTGGGACTGAAGGGATGGTGTTGGAGAAAGAGTTGAGAAGTTGGGCTGTTGCTTTAATCTCCAGCTTTCACAACTTTTATTTCTTTGGTTAGTGCTCTGTACTTTTTGTCTGAATTTTAATTGTTATTATTTGTTTGGTAATGCCTGAGGTAATTGTTTGGCTTGATTTTCTGTAAGTATTTTGCATTACATTATTCTCAGTTAAGTGTGTACTTCTACTTAGATGTCTGAAGAGCATTTATCTGCCAAATATTTTCAACATTGTCTAAATCTTAAGCTTATATGTGTGTTTTAGATTCTGTCTTTTTTTTTTTTTTTCATTTTTAGCAAAATGCATTCGTTTCTCTTGACTGATAGTAATGTTGTTCAGTTCTTACTTGGGTATATTTGGATGCCTTTTGCCTTGGACAAATTTCAAATCATGTGAAACAATGTGAGACATTACATATTGTGCACTGTTGAGCAGTTCCCCTTTGGTTTAGCTTAATTTGTTAACTTTGCCTGTCTCAAATAGTCTCTATATTGTTTCCTTAAAAAGATGTACTGATTTTATTATTACCTTTTTCCCCATGATTGCACTCATTTTCCCTTAATTCATATTTGCAATACTTACAATCTGATCGTCACTTTGTGCTGACCAGAGATACTTTTGAGGGTGCTGCTGCAGCTGGCATTGCCAGTGACTTCCTTTCTGGTTAGTTTGCTGTGCTTGGATATTTAATTTTTTAATATCTCTTCCTCCTCTTTTTAGTAGTATGTTTTTGTGCTTTGTATCAACTTGTCTGCCAATGCTCACACGTGTTAAATTTGTATGAGTTGTAAGCTGTGGTTCTACATTTGAAAATTGTGTTTGTCTGCCTATGCAAATGCTTAAATCATCCAAATGCATATGCTGCATTAATGGTTCTGCATCAGTGGATCATGGCCTCTAGCTGCCTCTCTTATCCTTTACTCTCTTCCCTCTTTGTCCCAGCACCTTAACTGATTCCCCATAGGAACAATGATTGCTTACAGACCAATTTATTTTTAGGATTTAGCTGTCTATTTTAAGCATTGAGTGATTCCATGCTGCAAGGTGATAGTTATATCCTTTTCCTGGGAAAAATAATGGATTATAGGCATTAAGTGTGGGCAGGGAGAATGAAGTATCAGTGGCTTGAGAATGGAAGTGTGTCCATATCTTCATGTTCTTTCTACTATCCATAGGTCTGGTGCAACATGTGCTTGAACTTGGATCTGGGCTTCCATTTTGATATACGTTGAGCTCAGTTGATCCCATCAATCATATGTACTACGTCATGCTTAGAGAATTAAGCTTGTTGATAGATTTTGTTTGTTAGTCAAAATTTAAGGGACACTCCATGCAGGGACTTGAAGATGGAGTTCTGCTGAGAAATATTTTGTATGATGCTGTTATCTTGGTGGAGTATTCTTTCCTCAAGTCAGAGACAGTTCACCTACCAGCCGAGCACATAAAAAGTATTGCCATGACAAGACTGATTGTCACACTTGAAGGCATTGAGTTTTCCAGGTATAGATAAATGTTATGGCTCAAATTATAATTAATGAAGCCTGCATGGTATTTACCTCCTCATTTGGTTTGCTGTAGAAAAAATGGGGATCAAAAAAGAGCTACTCGTTATACAAGTGCCTTTGCCAATTCTCATTTACCCTCTCAAATAATCCAATGCATCATGAGGCAGATTGGCATGGATGAGAAAGCAGGAAAAACAAGTGGATCCTCACCTAAAGCTCTTATTAGTGAGTACCTCCACTAGTCATTTCTAGTGTCTGCAATTACTGTAGCTTCTAAGATACATTACTAACTGTTTTCTTTGTTTTTTCACTGCAATTAATCCAATTGTCCAGAGTGGCTACTGAACCTGGAGAAACAAGGGATAAAGTCATTTGATGATAGCATCTGGAAATGCCGTGCCAAATTACTTGTTGATGATTCCAAGGCAGACTATGAGCGATCAGGATCAAAGTTAGATGGGAAGAAACTCGAGGATGATCCTCTCTTTTACATGGATAACCAAGGGAAAGAGGAAAATAAAGATGAAGAGAATAATATGAAAAATGAATCTTTGACAGCTGCATTTATGACTGCTGCTCATTCAATGAGGCTGATAGATAGCTCCAGGACAAAAAGGAAAGGAAATGGAAGTGCAGACAGGGAGAAGATCAAGTATTTTAAGTATGATCTTTGCAGCAATTCTGAATCAGCTAAAGACAAGGTCTCAGCTGTTACTAATGATGATTTGAGTAGTGAGAGTGAAGTTGAGAACCCACTCTCTGATGAAGAGGCATAAACTTTTGATGATTTGTTGTCAATTTCATTTCCTTATTAACTATACCAACTCCCAGAAAAGAAAAAACTTAGGATTTTGTTTAACATCAATGTTTTTGATTGGCTTGAAAAAGAATTGCAGGTAGAATATACTCCCTTTATTCATCATAATATCCCCTGGAATAGCATTTTCTTTTCCATGACAATATGGACCATGTGGCTTCAACATAACAACAAAGTGTTTGACATGGCAAAAGGGGCTTCTCAACTATTTCACAACATCAAAGAAAAAGCCATCCAGCATGGAAGAACATAACAAAGAGTTAAACAGACAATGAAGACTACCATCATCAATGCTTGGAAAACCCACCAAATTTGGGATGTTCCAAAATTAAGGCGGATGGATCAGTTTTGGGCAATCCGGGAAAGGTTAGGACAGGAGTGACTTGTGATCATAAACACTGTATTTGGTTTGGAGGAGTTACTTGTGATCATAAACACTGTATTTGGTTGGACGGAAAGACCAAAAGATGAAGGAAAAGGGTCATTTCCTTCTCTCTAAGAAGGAAAATTAAGAGGGGAGGAAAGTGAGTGGATTTGCTCCTTTCCTTTCTCTCAAAATCCAACCCTTTCAAAAGTGAGAGAAATACACTCACTCAACTTAAATTGATCATTTTATTTGCAACTTTATTCAAACTTTCCTTTCTTTCCCTTTTTCTTTGCCAAACTTAATGCAAGGTAAATTTATAGCTGGGATTTCAAGTAAGTTGCTAGTAACTGTAAGTGTTGCTGCTAAGTTGTGGGCTTTACGAGGTGGTTTCCAACTGACTGACATTGGCCTTGAGACTGATTCCCCATGGCCATACATCTATTGAGTTTGCACAAATGGTGGTGCCTCTGAATTCACAGCCTTTAATCTTGATTGAAATTTGAAATAATTTTGTGTTCATTCGTTCTACATTTTATCAGCTTCTCCATCTGCATATTAATCTCCTTGATATTTGCATAAGAAGTATCCTGTGCATAAAACATGTAGGTTTCACCATGGATCTCAAGCCAACTGCCCCCTGGCTGCTTTTTAATTCCTTGCTTGCACATTAACGCCCTAATTTTCTCAACTTCATCCCACTTTCCTCTAGCTGCAAACATGTTGGATAACGTCACATAATTATACTCTAGTTCAGGTTCAAGCTCAAAGAGCTTTCTGGCAGCTCTTTCACCAAATTCCACATTACTATGCAGTTTACAACCCCAAAGAACAGTATCCCATATCATGGCATTTTCGGTTAGATTCATCTCCTTCATAAACCTTTCAACTTCTTCAAATTTACCTGCTTGACAAAATACATTGACCATACAAGCACAATGTTCAATCGTAGGAGTAATCATGTAGACCTTGCTAATTGAGTCAAAATACATTTTTGCTTCTTCGATTAAACCCAATTGACTGCATGCAGAAAGAACACCTATAAATGTAACCTCATCAGGAAGGAAACCTTCATCTAACATAACTTTGAAGGCTTCAATGGCCATCTTTCCTTGCCCATGCTGAGTGTATGCACATATAATTGTGCTCCATGAGACCGTATTCCGGAAATCCATTTCCTTAAAAATAGCCTCAGCATCTTCTATGCACCTGCTTTTTCCATACATATCAATAAGTGCACTTGCAACATAGGTATCATTTAGAAGTCCAGACTTTATTGACATGGAATGAAGTTGCAGCCCACTTTCCAGCATTCTTAAGTTGTGGCAACCACTAAAACAGTATGAGAGAGTGAATTCATTGGGCTTAAATCCTTCCTGTTGCATCCTATTGAACCATTTGACAGCTTTCTCTCCCTGATCAGCTTGAGCATAACTGGCAATGATGACAGTCTCATCCAATGAACTCTTTCATTCAATTCATTAAAAAGTAACTCAGTCTCATCCAAGCATCTGTTTTTGGCATACATGTCAATAAGGGTTGTTCCGACAAAGTTATTACAATCAAGCCCATTCTTCATTATATGCTCATGTACTTGCTTTCCAAAATCAAAATTTTCCAGGGTGCCATTGGATCTTAGAATGCTAGCAAAAGTGTAAACGTCGGGCCTAAAACCTTCTGCAAGCATCATGTAGAAGATTCTTGGTCCCTGATGATAGGTTTCACAGTCACGAGGACCAGACAAAAGCGAATTCCATGAAGTTGAATCCCAAGAACTCATTGCATTAAACACTTCCCAACCATTTTGAACAGATTTCATTTGCATATACATGGTGATAAGCGCATTGCTTAGAAACTTGTCAGATTCAAAGCCAAATTTAAGTATACAAGCATGAATGCTTTGACAGAAGTGCAAATCACTGAAATTGGATGCAGTACGAACAATACTAGCAAAGGTAAGTTGATTTGGTCTCACCTCTTTTTGTCTCATTAAGCAGAACATCTCTGCTGCTTCTTGACTCTTGCCTTGCCCATCGAGGCAGTTGATCATTGAAGTCCAAGCAACCACGTTGGGAACCTTGATGGCCTCAAAGACCCTTTGTGCATCCTCGCCAACCCCACACATGGAATACATATCAATAATGCAGCAACCAAGATATTCATCAATATCAGAGCCAATCTTAACTGCCAGACAATGTACAACCCTATCCCCTTGCAAATTTCCCAAACGCGCACAACTCTTAAACACAGTCGATAAAATGAACTTACTAAACTTCGTTTCTGTTCCTTTCATCCCACAAAACCACTTCAAAACCTCTTGGCTATCACCCATCTTTGCATAACCATTGAGAAAAGCACTCCATGACACAACATTCTTCTCTGGCATGCAAAAGAATGCTCTTTCTGCATGTTCCATCTCACCACATCTCGCATAGAGGTCAACAACAGCAGAAGCAACAAATGTATCTAATAAAACCCCAATATTAATCACTTCTGCATGCAACTTGTTCCAAAATCTAACTCAAATCCCGTAGAACAAGCTTTCAAGGCTGTCACTAAAGTGAACCCATTTGGCCTGGCACCATCTTTTTTCATATTACAATACAAATTCACAGCACGATAGGTATGTCCCTCGGATACTAACCGTGAAATGAGTACAGTCCAAGACATAACGTTTCTATTTGGCATTTCATCAAGAACCTGACAAGCGCAGCCAAAGCTCCCGCATTTTGTGTAAAAATGCAGCAACGAAGTCCACGAGGTCAAACCAATTTTTATCAGCTGCCCGTGAATTGCCTTCCCAAAATTTAGAGATCCATTTGAAGCAGAGTCTCGTAGCAGCCTAGAGTATTGGGATGAAGTAAAGTTTCTTGCTATGAAATGGCACTTCGTTGGGAAGGTTTTAATCAGCAAAGATTCACTGCTACAATGAATTGAAAACACACTAAGCATTGAGTTGCATTGTATTTAAACCAAAGGTTCATTCTTCAACCTTTTACATTTCTTCAACAAAAAATGGAGTCATGCGCGTCTCGGGGGCACATTAGAGAGAGAATTGTCTCTACCTCCGACTGAGTCTGAGCCAGCAGCTCTGGTGTATACGAGACTTTGCCTTTCCGGTCTAAACATCTTCAACATGAATTGTAGTTCTGTTTTCTAGCCCGATCAAACGTCCATCGGCCGATCTTCAACATTAGCTTTTTAAGATAGTAATTTTTTTTTAAGATAGAAAAAAACTGCTTCCTTCCTCTCTCTCCCTCTTTCTCCTTATCGATCTCTCTTTTCTTTCTCCCTTTCTGCGAATCATCCACAAAAATTAAAGAAAAAAAATCAAAATTTTAAATTACATTCAGATTTTTTTTTTTTTATCATTTTTTTAGTTTTGAAAACTCTTTTTAGTATTTGATATTTATCAGTTATTGTTTGATATAATAATTTTGTGATGTTTATTTATTTTTAAATTTTTTTATGTATATAATATTTATTTATTATGATTGAAATAATTAATCAAATAAGTCAATAATTATTGAGATAAATTAAATAAAATTTTAAAAGTTAATATTTATATTCATTTGTGGTAACTCGGTTTTAAATAATTTTTTTAAATATAACAATATGTTGTACTATAAGAGAATTAAAATAAATTTTAATTTTGTTGACAACAAGAATTGCAAAATTCTTTCAATGATTCATAATATTAAGTTAATTTATAAATTTCAAAAGTTAATTTTGAAAAACAACAATAAATAATTTTTTATATTCTTTTTGTATCTTTCAATGATTCATAATATTATAGGAGATATTATATATTTTTTATTTATTAAATACCTTTTATGATAATTTTAATCAAAATAAAAATTTATATAAGTTATTTTATCAAAAAAGTAAATTTATCAAATAGTTTTAACTTAATTATAATAGTTATTATTTTTTATAATAGTTTTTTAAATTAAAAAAATTTCGTAACCAAATCAAAACAAATGTTATATCTAATTAGTACTCAAATATTTTATTTATTGGTTAATGTATGATGTTTTATTTAAAAAATAAGATTTCAATCCTCTTTTTTCAATTAAAAAAAATAGTGTCTGATAGACAATATAAACAAGTGGTTTGAAGTTTGGAAACAAGTATTTCGATGCCATGGGTTGGATTCCTCAACAAAATATAAACATTTTGCATGTAACGTCTGATCATACAGTGTCAGGTTTTAATTTCTGAATAAAGATTAGGGAAGGAGCATGTCACGTGTGCATTGTAGAACACCATAAATAAATTCTACCCAATCCAAATACCAAACAAAGTGCACCAAATAAATTCATGCACACTTGGATCTGCCAAATATTTCACCTGGAATTCTGCCTTATTAAAACCAGCCACGTGAAAAAGTGGTCGTCTCGTCTGGTTTATCCTTCCAGTTGGCGTTTGTCACTTGCCAAACTGGTAAATTTTGACCTACATATCTTTGAGTACATGCTAAGACACACTATTCTCACAATGCATTAATTACAAATTTATTTTATAAATAATATCTTAATTGATAGAATTTTTTTTCCATAATTCTTGAGGATAATAATGCATTGAAGTGATAGGATAGTATAGGATAGGATCAAGTGATAAAAAGGAGTTAGCTATATCTTGTAATTTAAATAAATTAAAAAAAGGTGAAAAAAACATACATGTTTTTTCTTTTGATAGTAAAAAAAGAAAAAAGGGATAAAGGTTAAGCATGTAGTAAATAGTTTGGCATCAATTTCTACATGGATGTGTGGACCCCAACTTTAAAAGGACAATATGTGGTGGACCCCACCTTCACCAACAAAGAGTTTTAAACAAAATACGGTGTGGACATTTGCTACCCATTGGATTGGGTTGTCTATCATGCATCATGATCAACATAACATGGTGACTTTATAGATTTAATTTTGATGTTACTTTGATGATTTATTTTAAGTAATGGAAATGGAAAAGTCATGTGTTGGTGACATTTGTCTTTGTTTTTTTAGGCTATGAATGGACAATAATTAATGAGCTCTAATGTTTAGACGAAATTAAATAAAATTTGATAGAATGAAATGGTACTATCATGGAAAATGATATGAAAAAAAAATATTTACATAACAATATGATTATTATTGGAAAAAGATGGCATGATTAATCAATTTGAGTCAGATGAACGGCAAAGCAAACACCAAATTGTAACTTCAAAGGCCATATTATATCCATGTAGAAATAAATAAAGAAAAAAAAATATCCAAATGAAAAAGTGATAATTTAATTCGTAAAATGGGAAAGACGTGGAACCCACAAAAAGGGCATCCAATGACAGACGTACAGATCACTACGGGGCCAATCATTCTTTTTTAAGTCAAACCAAATGACAATACCCCCCTGCTCCCTAATTATTTAAAAGAAAAGAAAGAGAAATAGAAAAAAAGGCGAAAAAATATTCACCAACAACCGAGCCCATTTGGGTAAATCCGCATCTTTCGTCGGCTCTTAACGGCGTCGTTTAAAAGATTTTATGTTTTAAAATAGTGCCGCGTTTTTGACAGGATTTGACCGAGGGTTAAGATTTGACCAGAGTCAGGGGTTAAAACAAGTAAATCCATTTGTTTCCTAAAATGCATCGGTGGAGCTCCACCTCTGATTAAAAAAAAAAGAAAAAACACAAGAAATAAACAAACAGAGCGAGCGAGCGAGCGAGAGAGAGAGAACGAGAGTTTTCGAAGAGAGAAAGAATCGCTTGCTTTATAAGCCATCAAAGCCAGAGGCTTATATTTCCCGAGGAAGAAGAAGAAGAAGAAGAAAGAAGCAAGAGAGAGAAAAGCTTTTATTGTTTTTTAAAGAAAGCTTTTCTTTCTTTGTTTGAAGTTAACAGAGAAAGAGCCACGGCCATGGCTGAGTCAAACGATTCCATTCCTCTTGATACAGAAAAGATCTATATGGGTGGGAAGGTTCGTTCCCGCTCCATTTTTCTTTATTTTTCACTATTTTTTTTTGTTTTCATTTTATATTCTGCATTTTGATTTCTGAATTGGGGTTAGTTTTATGGGGAGAAGAACCCATTTTTTCTGTTCTTTTGAAAATGGGGGAATATTGGGTTGATTCGAAATTCATTGAATTTAATTCTGCAATATTTAGAATTTAACGAAATGGGTATCATCAGATCTATGCATTCTTTATTTGGTCAAATTTATTATATATTTTTTCTTTTCTTTTACATATTTAGTAAGCTCGGTTAGTTTCCATTAGTAGTTTCAACTGTCCTCCGTTTTTTTTATTTATTTATAAAGCAATCTTTTTTTGGTTTTTTCTCAACATTTTTTGTCTTTTTTTTCTGATCTTGTGTAATTCTCCAATGTTACTTGTTGTTGCAATTGCCTTTGGATTTATCTGCTTTTAGTGTTCTTTTTTGATTGTTTGGAGATTCTTTCCTTCTTTGTTTGTTGCTTCTAATGGCAAAAGAAGTTGGATAATGGATTCTTCCAACTATTCATTCTTCGGGATTATGCAACGTGTGTTTGCAGTTAATTGAAAAAACCTTGGCTGTACCTTTTTCCTTGTTTCACTTTTATTTTATTATATTAATATTGTCTAGCTGTAAATTTACAATTTTTGTTTACATCAACCCATTGTCAATGTCTGCTTTTAATATGAGAGATTCCGTGCTCTCTTTTTAGACTGTCATGTCTTTTGAAGAATGCAATGATTGATATCAGGAACCACTCATTTGATTTTGCTTTTCTTTTGCAAAGTAATGTTAAGTTGGATTTCCCTAAAAGAGGTGAGTGCACATGGGAAGTGCTTCTTGATGAATAAATTTATTTAGATAATTTAGAGTGTTTCTTTTCTTTTCTTCCTTTTTTGTAAAGGGTCACATGAAACAAATGATTTGTCTTACATAACTAATAGTTCTTCTTTTTGAACAACTACTTAGGTAGTTAGAAAATATTACGGTACTCAAAGTTTCAATGCATCTCATCTATGATTGTTTGGAATGCTTAACCATATGCGTTGATTAGTATGCATCTTTTATGTGTTTATAATGTGCTTGCCAAAACATCTTTCAGGAACATCATGTACGAACGCGCTGTGGTTCTGTGTCTGTTATAGTATATGGGGACCAAGACAAGCCAGCCCTAATTACATATCCTGATTTGGCTTTGAATCGTAAGTATTATGGTGTTGGATACCAGAGCGTCTTCTTCCCTTTGTTTCTTATCTTCCCCGGTTATATGAATTTGTAATATATACCCAATTCAGGAGTAGTCTTTTGCGGTTTCTTCAATATACTCTTTTTCATTCATAATTTTTGTTGTTAGCTGGATCAATGCATCTATGTATGCACATTTACATGTTAGAGAAGTTCGTTAGGAAGCATTGCTTCTCTTAGTTTGTGTTTATCTCCAAGTCTGCTTTCTTACAACTCTTTTGTTCCTTATTTTGGTAATTTTCTTCAGATATGTCTTGTTTCCAAGGATTGTTCTTTTGTCCAGAAGCGGCCTCCTTGCTGCTCCATAATTTCTGCATTTACCATATTAGTCCTCCTGGGCATGAGGTCTGTAAATTAGTTGGCATATGCCTGTAAGATCTTATTTCTGTCATATATGGACTTTTTTATCTCTTGATAACACACTATATCAATTGTTGGATTCTATTACTTACATAGTTTCTTTTCTGGCACTTTCACAAGAGTTCTTGCAGTTGGGAGCTGCTCCAATTTGTCCAAGTGCTTCTGCACATTGTGTTGACGACTTAGCTGATCAGATCCTTGAGGTCCTTAACTTTTTTGGGTAATCAGATTGCTAATACCTTTTTGCATTGTTTCATTCTGAATTTTATGTACAAGACTTTTTTTTTATAGTTGAGGCTGCCAACTGACTTATGATAAAGTTGCATAGCATCTTACTAGAGAGTTATCTGGTTTTTCCGGTGTTTATGTTTTGATTGAAAGGGGGTTTCTTTTCCCATTAGGAGCAGTGGACGTCTTTGTTAACAAATTCATGGTTGAGATTATGTGTTAACTTTTTTTATTGATGGCATCAGGCTCGGTGCAGTGATGTGCATGGGAGTAACAGCGGGTGCTTACATCCTTACTCTGTTTGCTGTAGGTTTCTTTATGAATCCTTTGAGTAGTATTGTTTAAATGTTTTTGATGTACAGGTTCATTGACAAAGCTTTGCATTGCAGATGAAATACAGAGAACGTGTTCTTGGTTTGATACTTATATCCCCTCTTTGCAGAGCACCCTCTTGGACGGAATGGTTTTATAACAAGGTTCCTTCCTTAGATTGTTGGTTATATCTAACATCCTTTGTATTAAATTTCTATAGTATAACTAAAATGACTTATACTCTGTAGGTGATGTCAAATTTGTTATATTTTTATGGAATGTGTGGACTGCTTAAAGAGTTTTTGCTTCAACGTTACTTCAGCAAGGTATCCTAGCAGTCTATCTTGTAAGTTTCTTTTTGTATATCCTCACTTATTGAGTAGGTTGAGTGATGAGATTTATATAAATTGTAACAGGAAGTTCGTGGTAATGCAGAAGTTCCTGAGTCGGATATAGTTCAAGCATGCAGAAGAGTTAGTGCTTAAGCATTTCTTTTTCTTTTATTTTGGTTTTCTCTTCTTTCCTGGATAGCATGTATGCTGGATTTCGATTTCTCTTTCTGTTTCTTTTTCACCCTCTTTTAAATGGTGAATTTGAAAGTTGGCATACTTATTCCTATGGCATGTTTGTTTTCTTAGTTGCTGGATGAGAGGCATGGCTCAAATGTGATGCGATTTCTTCAAGCAATTAATAGGTATAAAATAATATGACTACAATTTTATTGTCACTTCTTTTGTTTGCATATTACTAGTCTTTATTACGTTGAATTTTCAAGTGCTCAAAACTTTGTTTTGCCAACCTGCAGGAGACCTGACCTTAGCAGTGGGCTGAAGAGACTCAGATGTCGTACCCTAATATTTGTTGGGGATAACTCACCATTTCATTCTGAGGCCCTCTACATGACATCCAAGTTGGATAGAAGATTTAGTGCCTTAGTTGAGGTAAGTAGTTCTTGGTTTTTGGGATTACCTATGTACCAGGGATTGCTTTGCTAAAATGATGTTGAATGATACTTGGATATTCTGCAAAGTCAGTGTCATGTACATTCTTAGTTACACTTATTTGATCTGGTCAATGTTACACATGATTTGCAAATCAGTAGGGGCATTTAGTAGTCGCTCACATACTCCAAATATACCATTATGGGTAGGCCAACCAGCCTCTTGGATGATAGTAAGGATTCCCATATGCATTAGGGGCTGTGAGGTTTAATTTATTAATAACATTCCTATAACATTGGTAAATTCCCATTTTTATTGATGTTTTCAATTAATTCCTGAGTCTTGTTTTTGATGACTAATGCTTTGTGTACCTAAATGAAAGTGCCAAATCTTATGCATAATGGGGGAGGATGGATTGCCTATGCAGGTCCAGGCTTGTGGATCAATGGTGACAGAAGAACAGCCACATGCAATGTTGATACCTATGGAATACTTCTTCATGGGGTATGGGTTGTATAGGCCTTGCCAGTTGAGTGACAGCCCGAGGAGCCCTTTAAGTCCATCTTGTATCTCACCGGAGCTTCTATCTCCAGAAAGCATGGGTTTGAAGTTAAAGCCTATAAAAACCCGTGTTTCCCTTGAAGTTTGATAGGGGGCCAGGGGTTAGAAAGATTGGATTTATTTTGTTCATTTTTTATAAAAAATTTTTGGTTTCTTTTTTGTTTTGGAAAAAAAAAAAAGCAAGTATCAGAAGGGTAGAAGCAGTTGGGATGGGGCTGTAGATACAGGAAGAATCTGAAGGAATATAGGGAGCGGTAACCGTAGCCTGCATTGATTCTTTTGTAGTCAGTCATAAAGGAGTCATTGAGCTGTGTTTATGTAAATTCCAAAGAGGACTCTGAATTTATTTATGATGATGACAGGCAACCAATAATGGAGATGAACTCTCTGATTATTGTGATTATTTTCCCATATTTCAGGGTCTCTCTCTCTCTCTCTCTCTCTCTCCTCTCTCTCTCTCCCTCCACCCCCGTGGCTGAATTGTCAATTTCCATGTTAATAATGCTATACATTTGGAGGATTTGGTAGCACATGGGGATGGGATGAACCCATTCCATGGCAGAGGAACATGCTTAATTAAATACCTTGTTATGGAAGATGTGGTGTTTTTGAGGTGGAGTTTTGACTTTAAAATTTGGAAAGAAGTCGACCTCCAGCTTTTTTAAAATGCAAAATTTATTTATCATTCCTTTCTATCCACGCAAAGCCTAAAATTATTGATTTGATAAAAGAAAATTGATGTAGAATTTGAACGTAAATACTACATGATTTGCTTGTGACGGAAACCATCAAGAAAAGAATATAAGAATGGGAAGAATTGAACGATGCATTTGAAAAGTTTGTTTTCATTTGGACCTTGCAGAAAAGAAAAAACGGAAATTCTTTTTGTTTTTTGTCTTTGCCTTGCTTTTATGGTTTGAATAGTCCAACCTCGTTTCCTTTTTTCTTTTTTCAACTGCGCATCATGCGGGCTGGCATAGTGTGCGGTGATCTAACGGCTACTGTCGAGTTCAGGTATTCCGTCACCACCACAATGCCAACTCCACGTCCCCACCGAATACATTCTCCACACATCACCAAAAAAATTCAACAGTTTTGAGGCGGGCGGGCGGGCGGGCACGCAGGCGGGCGTCGGAGAGCCGCCTCAAAATGGCGGAATAGTGGTGGTTTTTGACTTTGATCGGACGATAATAGACGGGGACAGCGACAGTTGGGTGGTGGCAGAGATGGGCCTTTCCGACCTTTTCAATCAGCTTCGCTCTACCTTACCTTGGAATTCCCTCATGGTTTGTGTTGCCTTTTGATTTAACTTTCTTATCCGTTACCACTCGATTTGCTTGCTTATAATAATAAATACTCTATTTTTATTGATCATTGCTAGTTAATATTAGTATTTGATTTACCCTATGTTTGGTTGCTGGGAACATCCGATTTCTATCTTAATGAAATGAAAATTTTCAGTCTCCTGTAAATTTTCTTCCTTCTCCAATGTTGATTACTAGAAAGAAACTGCAGTATCTGTGAACTCGAAATTATCAAATCAAAATCACCTTCTATGCTAATAAGTTACCACTAGGAAAGTTTAAAGGCTTCTAAGTTCTATTTTTAATTGCATCATATCAAATGTGTTTCATTTTTTTATTAAAGAGTAAAGAGCATGATTTATTGTTAACTGCAGTAAACTTTTCTGTTTTTGTAATTGTTGCTGAAAGAGAGTAGAGGCTTTCTAATATCATGAACTTAATAGATATGTTCAATCTAATTTTAGGGTAGGATGATGAAAGAGCTTCATTCCCAAGGGAAAACAGCTGAGGAGATTGCGGCTTGCTTGAAACGGACTCCGTTACATCCAAGAATTGCTGCTGCTATAAAATCAGCCTATGCGCTTGGGTAGTAATCATGGTCATTTCCTTTTTCCTTGTTTGTTCTTTGTCAAGTTCTGGGGTTCATAATGGTTGTCATGGTACTGTTATGAAATTTCAGATGCGACTTGAGGATAGTCAGTGACGCAAATCAGTTCTTCATCGAGAAAATCTTGGAATATCAGGGTTTGTTGGCTTGCTTTTCAAAGATCTATACAAACCCAAGCTTTGTAGATGAAGAAGGAAGGCTGAGGATCTTTCCTTATCATGATTCTACCTTATCCGCACATGGGTGCAGTCTATGTCCTTCCAATTTGTGCAAGGTAAACAAGTTCACTGATTGAGCATATTTATCAAATCATGTGATGATTTCTCAATAACTGGTTCATTAGTCACCGACTTTCTGATGATTGAATTTTTGGATGGTTTCCTATGATATGAATTTATGTGAAGGAGTGTTAATTACACATTTGCATATCGTAGAAATGGAGACTTATTTATTTGATAGATGGATATATTGGTATATGCTAGGGTGGATTAATCTGTGCGGTCCTTTTTCTGGTATGGTTTTTGACGTTCCTTCCAGTTTCTGGAAAGAACTGAGGGAATTTATGAATTGCAAGGGAATATGGTCATCCTTCCTTGTTTCTAAAGCATCTGAATTTATAGTTTAATGTGTTTTCTAAAAGGGTCTTTACCGTGAAATTTATGTACTGTCAATCTTCTCCTACTCCTCGAAATAAGCAAGGTGTCAGTGTTTATGCATTTGGCGTAGAGAACAGTAGGATTCATTTATTTCTGTCAATTCTAGCCATGTTGAATCATATTGGTTTGGCGTCTGGGTGCTTGGGTGAAATATTTTGTGATTAAGCACCAGTGCGTAACTAATGTGCTTAATTTTTGCTACGTCATCATCAGTCATCACAATACATAGAATTTATTTAGTTAATGCACACTATTACCAATAAAATCATAGTTTGGTTGCTCATTTACTGCTTGATATATGCTGCCTTCCAGGATCTTAGTTCGGCAATTTAATAGTTACCATATGTTAGTATCCCACAATTATATTCTTTGTGTTGCTATAAGATATTTTCTTTTTAGTTATTCCTCATCTTAAGGTAGAGTTTTAATTGTGGTTTCTTCCATTGTAGGGCCTAGTACTCGACCATATCTATGCTTCTGCTCCTGAAGGTGTAAGGCGGAATTTTATCTACCTGGGAGATGGGAGGGGTGATTACTGCCCCACTTTGAGGCTTCAAGACAGTGATTACGTGATGCCAAGGAAGAAGTATCCTTTATGGGACCGTATTTTTAGTGAGCCAGCCCTCGTCAAAGCAGAAGTTCATGAATGGAGCAACGGTGAAGAGCTTGAGAAGATCTTACTCCACCTTATCGACAAAATCCCTACGGAACAAAGCATCAGCGGCAGCAATCCTTCTTCTCAATCGAACTCATCTGATTGCAAGCTCCACATTTCAGTGTCTTCCCCTGAATCATTTACTCAAACACTCCGGGTTCCTCACTAGGTAGTGGTGGGAGTACGAAGTCATACCAGAGACCCTTTAACAGTGGAGGGTGTTGTCGTATTGCTGTCTATTCTTACAATCAGCTCAAGCAACAGTTGATAAATGTAGAATTATGCTTTATCTTTGGGATCAATGCTCTCTGCATTTCACCCTCATCACAACTTCCTAGCCGATCTCATTTCAGTTCGGATCATGTTCGGAAAGTCACCGTCTAGGCTCAAGGTAGTTTGATGCATGAACTAAAGCCAAGTTAGAATCAAGGTTGTTTATGAGATCAGGCCCACATATTTCAGGAATCTGATCGCTAAATTCTGATAATGTTTATCAAATAACATGTAGGGCTAATCCTGGCTTGGGAACATTTTGGCTTCTGTAATGAACTAGATATTACTAGTATTATGAAGAAAACCATTTCTGATGTTCAAGGGTTTCAAACATAGTTTTCATGAAATCTAATAAACACCAGCTTTTCTTCCCACCTCCACACAGTCATTACTTCATTTCTTCCTACACGGCTTGATTCTGTCTTCATCTCTGATGAGAGACTTCCAATCCCACTTGTGGCTTCTATGTCTTTCACCGCCTATTGGCCTGTACGTCTGACAGGGACAACTGGAGGTATTCAATTCGATTATTCAAAGGACAATAGATGCGGCGTGCCGCAACCAACTTTGAACGAGTTTTCAATTTATTACAACTGAAAATTTTGTTAAAAAAGCTTTTGTATTTATTATTATTAATAAGGAAAAGAAGAAAAATTATTCTTCTTACCCTCATAAATACTTTGATTGCAATATTTGTTTATCCTAACCGTTGGACTACAGACGCCACATCATTGAAAATGTTGACTATTGAATTATTACTAGTTTTTTAGGTAAATAGTTATCTTTTGGTATAGGGATATATTGGGATAATACTTTTAAATGTAAAAGTTATGAGATAATGAAAAAATATTTAATTTTAAAATTTAAATATAAAAAATTATCTTTTTGTATTATAGTTTAAAGATTATATTATATGATAAGAATGATTATCTTTTATAAGATAATTGTGAAAATAATACATTTATTCAACTATTATTGAATGAATTACTCTTAAAAGCATAAGAAGTGGTTAACCTTTATGTTTATTGAATTTATGAAGTTATTTATATATTTTCTGTTAACATATTGAAAGTGAAATAATTCTTAAAATAACATCTACTAAAATTCACGCATTGATGTTAATTCTTTTGAATTCAAAGTAAAACTCACTTACAACAACAATATTTTCCTTCCACGTGTCTGCTGCGTCCATGTGATCTATTAATAAGAAAGAACAAACAAAATGATGGGCCAAGACAACATATTCAATTATTCATTCCGTACTTGCCACTGGCGACTGGCCAACATTGAAACGTTCAGCTGGCAAGCTGGAATCAATGAGAGAAAAAAATTTTGAACGGCCAAGATTGCAAGATTCTTGATCCAGTAAAGGGAATAAAGCCAGTATCATTCCAGAATAAAATAGAACCGAATGCAGTTCCAAGAAACTCGTTACCTTCCCTTCTCTGGCACAACAGGTATCTACCAAGGAGCCGTGGCATGGACTCCTCTGAGTTGTCAGTTGTCCGAAACATATAAAAACCACATTTTTCGGACCGTATACTGAACCCCAACAGATAGAGACGTCTCTTTTTTCTTTTTTTGTTTCTTCTGTCTTTTGCTTTCCCTCCCTTATTGTGACTTCAAGGACAAATCTTTTTTTACAAGTAAAATCTCTCTTTTTCTCCCTCTCTGGGGCTTCAAGGCGTAGTTAAAATGGAAAAAAAGGGAGAAGAAAGAGAGCTGGGTATGTTCTTTGATGGGATCATAGAGTCCATGCCTTTGTTTGCAAAGCAGTTCGTTGCTGGAGGTGTTGCTGGGGGGCTTGCAAAGACCGTTGTTGCCCCACTTGAGCGTGTCAAGATTTTGTTACAGGTAAAGTTGGATTTTTCCTTTTTTTTTTTAACACTTTGACTTGATTTCTTAGTTCTTGCTTTATTTTGTGTCTCTTTACTCTTTGTCATGGTTGTTGGATTCTTGGGTTCTTCTTGGTTGTGATATTGTTGCTTGCTTCTTTTTATTTTTTTTAAATTTCTCTGATGGCTTGCATCCATAGTTGATTTTCGAGCCTGTGATGCCTTGTTTTGACCGTAGCTCAACTCAGGTGCGATGAAGTCAGTGAATTATCTTTTAATGAGACGATGTTCTGTTGGTGAAGATTATATGGGTTTTGGGATTGTTCATTTTTTGCCAAGATGGGGTCTTTCTGATGCTCTTGAGTCTCAATTGCTGATGAGAATTAGGAGATTTAACTTATCAAACCCTACCAATGTTGATTTTTTGATCTTTCCCAATATTTTCGGAATGCCTTTTGCATTCTAGGTGACTAAAAGTTGAGGAATAACAAACTCATATCCTTGATGTAACCAAATCATTAGTAATGAGAGGCTGTGGCCTTTGCTATTGCGCTGCCATCCACCAAGGCCCAGGTACCTGCAACTTGTGAAGATTCACCCTGCATTAGCTGAAAGAACTAATTCATTATTCCGTTTCAGACTAGAAGAGGAGAATTTCACAGCATAGGGATCTTTGGATCCATTAAAACGATTGCAACGACAGAAGGCATCCTGGGTTTCTACAGGTTGATGTCCAATTCATTATCCTTTACATGAAGGTTGTTCTGAAAAGTTATCTTCAATTTCTTACTTATTTTATGGGATGAGCAGAGGAAATGGTGCTAGTGTTACTCGAATTGTTCCCTATGCAGCACTTCATTATATGGCTTACGAGCAGTACCGTAGATGGATCATCAATGGATTTCCTGACATTGGAAGAGGCCCTGTACTTGATCTTGTGGCTGGATCATTTGCTGGAGGAACTGCTGTGCTTTTTACTTATCCACTTGATTTGATTCGGACTAAATTAGCTTATCAGGTAAATAGTTGAATATAAAGCTGGAACTGCTGTGCTCTTTACTTATCCACTTGATTTGATTCGCACTAAATTAGGTTATCAGGTAAATAGTTGAATATAAAGCTGGAGGCTCTTCAGAGTTGCAGCCAGGACTGTCGGCCTGGCACTCGGTTCTGAGCTTTTTCCGTTTCTCTGACAAAGTTGTATTTGCTAGTGCAGGTTGTTGGTCTACCAAAGATTAATGCGAAAGGGGTAGTTAGTACTGAACAAATTTATAGAGGAATTCTTGATTGTTTTTCGAAGACTTACAAAGGGTCTGGGCTCAGAGGTCTCTATCGTGGTGTAGGTATGAATTTCAAAACGAATCTGCTGTTAGCTTCTCTTTTGGTAGTTTCATTCTTGTGGGGTTTCCTGTTAATATGTGAGAAATTTTCTCAGCCCCATCACTTTATGGAATCTTCCCATATGCTGGTTTGAAGTTTTACTTCTATGAGGAGATGAAACGCCATGTACCTGGGGAGAAGAAGAAAAAAATAATGGTGAATCTAGTATGTGGGTCTGTAGCTGGTCTCTTGGGCCAAACTTTCACATATCCTCTTGATGTTGTGAGGAGGCAAATGCAGGTATATTTACTCCTTGGATCCAAAAGAGCAATTGAAAAGTGATTAAACTGTGGATTCTAAAGTAATGGACGAGAACTGGCTTATTAGGTCCAAAAGCTCTCGGCATCCAACAGGCCCGAGTTGAAAGGAACAATGGGATCACTTATCATGATTGCCCAAAATCAAGGCTGGAAGCAATTGTTTTCAGGGCTGAGCATCAACTACCTTAAGGTAGGAAAAGGCCCTTCCCGTTTGTGAGCTTTTTATCATTCATTTGTTATATTAATTTTTGTATGTATACTCCAGGTTGTACCGTCTACGGCAATGGGTTTTGCAGTTTATGAAGTCATGAAATCAAGCTTGAGAGTTCCATCCCATGATGAAGCTGTGATAGAAGTGGTAACAAACAAAAGAAATCTCCATTCATAACAATGAGTATTAATTCATCTCATTCATCCGGTGCTTTGCTTCACCTTCAAAATTCTTATGTTTTAATTACTGACCAAATCAGGCCATCTCACTTGTACATTCGATTCTTTTAAGCTGTACACATTGTACAGCTTACATAAAGGGATGATCAGGTAGCAAACTCTATTGATTAGACTTGTAGCAGTTTCTCGATCAAGGATGATGAGTCTTCCAAGTTTTAGACTCAGGCTATGTAAATAATTTGGGTATTAATTGAATAAAGAATTTTGACTACTGCTGTTGAGAAATAAATATCAGTGAGGACGTATGTATGTCACTAGCTACAATAGTACCGCGGACCAAGGTTTTGATGGGAAAGGCTAATCCACACAAAATTGAAGATTATAGAGGTAGTAGGTTGATTGCTCACAAGATCCAGGTGATCAAGTGACTACAGATTTCTGATGGTTGCTCAAAACAACCAAATAGGGTATAAAAAGTTGATACATGATGGTGGATGCAATGAGATATCTCTTTACTGCAACAGAAACAAATGTTTCTTGGCAGCATTCTGACCTTGAGTCAGCTTGGGGTTACAAAATCCTTGAACAGAACGTTCCCTGATCGATGTACACAAGTATTCAGAAGCAAAAAGTTGTTTGATGTGAAGAAATGTTTCAATGATGACAAAAGGTTGCTATTGAATGGATGTTTAAATTTCAATACAAGCATAATGTACAATCCAAAACACTTTCCATAATGCTAATTATGAGTTAATCTGCAGTCGGCAACTACATTTTCCTTGATGCGGCAACTAACATTACAAACAACATCAATGGAAGGGTTTTCCATAACTTTACCAGTAATCACCACAAGAGCATTTGCCATCCCTGAAGTGATGAAAGCGCTTGTTATCCCTCACAATCAACTCTCTCCCAACAATCTTGGACATGATTTTTATTGCATTGTGGCAGTCACCGCAGATTCTAAGGTTCTTAATGATCCTAAGAGGTGTCCTTGCCGGAGTACTAATAAGACCATAAGCAATTGCCAAACGCTCACTATGGTATTGCAAGGCCTGCTCTTTTGCCTTCTGATCAATGTCATGAAGCACATACCTTGTATCAGGTACATACCCTGCTTCCCTCATCTGCCCATTCAAACCTTTCAACTTCTCATTTACTTCTCCCTGGAAAGGGTTCATACACCGATACTGAATCACCCTATTCTTCTCCTCAATCATGTTAATCACAGAATGCTTCTTCCTTGGTGGTGCTCGGTGTTCATTCTCACTTCTCATAGGAGGATCAAATCCAAGCAACAACTCCTCAACATGATCCTCAAGGTCAATATCTCCATGAATTCGTGCAAAACCCCTGATTGCCTCCCAAATCTCCACCGTTGGCTCAACGGGCATATTCTCAATAAACTCCACAGCCTCGTTCAAATACCCAGCTCTCCCGAAAACATCAATCACTCCTAGATAATGTTCAACTCCCGGAGCAATCCTGTATTCATTCTTCATCAATTCAAAATACATTATTCCTTCCTCCACAGCCGCCACACAGGCACAAGCCGATAGAACCGCCAGAAAAGTTTCGCTATCCGGCTGAAACCCATCTTTTCTCATATCCTCAAACAACAACAATCCATCATCTCCTTTCCCATTCACCGCATAGTCATTTATCATCAAATTCCAAGAAGCCATATTTCGCTCACGCATTTTATCAAACACCCTGCGAGCATCGCTTATACTAGCGCATTTCCCATAAATACATATCAATTTGTTGTTCAATTCGATATCACCAGAAAACTTTGATCTTCTGAAGAATTCATTAACTCTTCTGGCTAATTCTAGCGAATTCATATTCCCGCAAACATCCAATAACGCCCCGAAAACATTATAATCCGCTAAAACACCTTGACCCATATAATCTAAAGCTTCCTTCACCTTGCCTTCTTTGCATAACTTCATCAAATCCACGGTAATACTTTCAAATGTTGGATTTTCAGGAGATGGGTGGTTTTCGTTTTGGTTTTCAGTGTTGAATTTACGAAGGCTGGGCCGATTATTCCTGGTTTGGCGGTGAGTTGTGACACTTCGGCGGCGGTAAGTCCTGGTAGAGCTGTTGCTATCAGTGTTATTGGATGCCGCGTAGGTGCATGAAGGCTTGAGTTTGTTGGGGTTTTGAGAAAAACAGACCTTGATTTTCTCGTTGAAAGCGAGAGAGTGCTTGGCATTGATCGAAGATTTTAAGTGGGAAGAGAAGCTAATGGAATTACCCGTGTTTTGAAGGGACGCCAGAGACGCCATTGTTTTTTTCTTACGGGGGCCAAAGTAATGTGGTCGCCGAGCCTCGGATGTCTACAAACTTATCAAACAATAATCGAGCTAAACGACAGCGTTTTCCCAAAGTTTATTTTCCTTAGGGTACTCTTCTTTCAAGTAGTTAACTTGAATGAAGTAAAATTGATATGTGATGGTATTGCCTGCCGTGACAAGATACCATCTCTTGTCAGCATATCTGATAGCGCCAAAAGTTCAAAACTAATCAGCCAAATACCATGCTGTTTCAGTGCTTCAGCTGCTTTGCAAATGCTGCCTGTTTTGGAGTCCATCCTGCACCAATGCTGGGCAAGGTGTCATCCATGGAGCTCCCCATCAAAATATCTACCCTGCAATGCACCATGGCTGGACAAGAGAACTGGTAGCGAACTCAAAAACTACCCCAGTAGGGGTGCAAAATTAGAATAGTCTTAATCATACTCTCATCAAAATTTCTATTCAGTTTATACCCTTATAAAACAAATTTCATTCAAAGAATCTTGTTTATGGTGTCCCACAATGGGATCAGAATTCAGAGGGTAATTCTTGTTGGATAGCAAGCACCAAAACATTCTTGCAAGATGATCCAGTTACTAAAATTAGTTTTACTTTATTGTCAACGTACCCCAGTACATGATCATGACTCAAGGCCTCGCTGTATAATCGAAGCTTAAAGTAATTAAGAATCATATTACACTTTTTAACAGCTTCAACATCATAGCATGCGAAACAGAAGTATAAATAGTAAACAATTAACAAAACTGAAACTGGGTGATCAAATGATATAATCTGACCACTCAGAGATGAATGAAGTATGATCCATGGACTCTCCAGGGCATTCCTCGTGCCTTGACGGTTTCTCCTTCCCTCCCACGAGCCTTGCTGGGTTCCCTACAGCTGTGGTCCGAGGCGGCACATCAATCAGCACCACTGACCCTGCTCCAATCTTTGCTCCTTCCCCAATCTTCACATTCCCTAATATGGTTGCACCAGCCCCAATCAACACCCCATCTCCAATCTTGGGATGCCGATCTCCGCATGCCTTCCCAGTCCCACCAAGTGTAACATGATGCAAGATTGACACATTGTTACCAACAACCGCGGTCTCACCGATCACCACTCCAGTGGCATGATCAAACAAAATCCCCTTCCCAATCTTTGCTGCGGGATGTATATCAACAGCAAAGACATCAGAGATTCGAGAGTGTAACGCCAATGCTAGCGGCCTACGTGATTGAGTCCACAACTTGTGTGCTACTCGATGAGCCTATAGCAACAGAATTCCAAATATTATTAATTTGTTCTCCATTTTCCCCCAATTTTCTACGCCATCAATAAAAACCAAGGCTTTAGACAAATTCCTTTTGCAACATTCATTCAATTAACAACAAGCATACCATTTTTATCCAAAGTGCTAAAGGCTATTCAATCGTAACCGTCCATGTCAAGCAAGGAATTTGATCTAAAGTCCATCATGTAAATTATAATGATGTAAAAAACTTAATGTTGAAACCCTGTAATGCCTAATATTCCTTCCGTAAATCATCCTTTAAAGTATATCAGACTTATTGAAATAGCTTATGAAACCAAATTCAATTAATCAGAGGAAATTAAGAAAGTGTGTTACCTGGCAAGCCAAGAATCCCTTATAATTAAGCAGGCAATGAGAGAAGGAAACGCAAGCAGGGTCCCTAACGCGAGCCGCACGGAGATCAGCGACGGCGGCGGCTCGAAGAGAAGGGTCAGAGGAGAAAGTATTCAGAAAGAGATCGTAGAGGAGCGTCGAGAGCAGCGTGGAGGAGCAGAGCTTGTTGCCGAGATGGAAGGAAAGCGAGCGCTCCAGAGAGGAGTGAGATAGGATCGTAGAGTAGAGGTAGCTAGCTAGAGCCGGCTCCGATTCGGCATCGCGGCGCGCCTCGGCTTTTATCTGTGCCCACACCCAAGCCTCGTCTTCCTCCACGGGTGTTTCAGTCGCTTGAGAAGGCAGCGGAGAAGGGTACCGGAGATCGCCGGTCGGCATTTTTTGGTGGTGGCGTACGTTAGCGAAGTCTCTGATGGTGCGGCGTTACAGGATAGGAAGGGCGGACTTTTACAAGTGATGGTACGATGAGAACAGGGGAAATACAAAGTTTGTGGAAGCTATTTGCTTACGTTTACATTCTTGTGTGTTTTTTTCTTCGGGAGTTCGCGGAGATGACACGTGGGGAGATTTGCTTCGGCTGAGGAACTGTCAATTATGCCTGTATTACACTATTCCGAAAGAATAAGGTCTTTTCCCTCTACCCAACACGTCTCCTGAGAATGATTTTTCTTTTGGTAAGAGTATTATATAAGTAGTGTACTAGTAACGCATTTATTAATTTCGCTTTTTTTTTTGTCTATATTTTTTTAGGAAAATAAGGTTTATACTTTTATAATACGAAAAACACAAAGTCCCATACATCATGACGTAATATGTCTGAAACAATACTAGGAGGATTATTGAAAACAATAAATTTTTTCTAAACTAGAAAAGTTAATATTAGTCATGAAATTTGCAAATAGATCGTTTTCTCTAGAAGCATGCCGTGAACCTTCCATTGATGCCAAAAAAGAGGTTGAATTGATTGGAGTGGATCAAAATTTGAGTGAGGATGAGATATTTGATTCTTGAGAGCTTAAACCACCATTTTATTATCAATTAGAAGATCGATTTTTCTATACCCCAAATCCCATGCCAATAACGAAATTTCGCAGACGTTCCATAACTCCGCTCTTGAAGTAGTACACTTGCCTAACTTGAGTGAAAACCCGCCCTTCCACATGCCTTGGTTGTCTCGAAATGTACCACCAGCTGCTGACTTACCAACAGAAGCTTTAAACGCTCCATCTACATTTAACGCAATCAAATCCGGTTCAGAAGGCTGCCACCCGATAAGCCGCTCTTCACTTAAGGAATGAGTTGATATAATATTCGGCACATTAGTAGCACAGGCCTGATGTATTGAAGCCACCCAGCTATTAATAAGTGACATTTGATTTTCACTTGTCATCACCTTATTCTCAAACACAAAAAGATTTCTCCACTTCCAGCTAAACCAGCAAGTAACACCAGAAACTGTACTCCAAGGAATGCCATTGATAAACAATTTACTTCTACTCTACTTCAAAGACAGCCACTCAGGTAAGGAAGAATTTAAAAAACGCACCGTGTAAGCTTTGTGGGACAATTCTGCACCAAAGTGCAGTGATTACTAGACAATCCCTCAACACATGGGATGCTGACTCGGTATCCAGATGACATTGAGGACAACTTGGGTCATTCGTGAAACGTCTTCGCAGCCTTTCCTTATTCGCGAGCAATTTGTCATGAAAGCATGATAAGGAAAGGTGTGAATTCTTCCGGACCGCATCACTTCCAAACTAGACTCCATAGACTGCTATTATGAGTAGATTTAACTTCCAAAATACCTCCCAACGCTGCATAAGCCGATGCCACCATGAGCACACCTGAAGAGGAAGACATCCAAAAGGGTCTATCTGGCTCTAAGCTGGATGAAGGAGGGAGCGTATTTGTTAAAGTATTAAACTTTTCCATTGCTAACCTGCCTGCAATTTGACTTAGGTCCCATTCTCCATTAGATAGAATGAACTCACAAACACTGCTCGAATCATCAATTTCCAATCCCAAGGTCCGTGCAGCAGCTGCTAAGAGATAATCACACAGCCAGTTATCCCACAACTTACTAAATGAGCCCTAAAAAGCTGGGCCCTTGCCTTATAGATGTTATTCGGTATTAAATTCATACCAATGTGATATTTACTCCTAACCACCTTTACCCATAAAAGATGCTGGTGTCGATATTAAGTTTCAGCAGGCTCTAAGCAAGAAAGCATTATTCATTTTTCTCATGCATCGAATTCTCAATCCTCCCTCCTCTTTAGGTCGACATATGTTCTTCCACTTCATAGCATGGATTTTTTTCCAAGTTTTCTCTAGGATGGCAATTGTTTGCATTGCGTAATAAGGAATATACAATAACACTGATTTTACCAATGTCGGTTTGCCCGCAAAAGAGAGAGTCGAGGCTTTTCAAGAAGACAATCTGCTACAAATTTTTTCTCCAAATATTTGAATAAGGAATATTCCTCGCGACCATGCAATAATGGAACTCCTAGATATTTATCGAAATTAGTTGAATGAAAAATGCCTGAGCATTCGCTAATCGCATGAATTGTATCCATTCAAACATTGTTGGAACAATAAAATGAGGTCTTCTCCACATTAACTTTTTCTTTGGAACATTTGCAAAAATCATTTAACATGCCTTTGATTACATCCATCTATGAAACTGAAGCTTCCGTAGACAGAGTAAGATCATCGACAAAAAATAAATGAGTTAAAACAGCCCCACCTCTACTCAAGCGAATTGGTTTCCAAAGCCCTTGTGTTACCGCTTCATTGAGGCCATGAGATAGGCACTCCATGCATAAAACAAAAGGATAAGGAGACAATGAATCTCCTCGTTTCACTTTTCCAGTAGGAAAGAAGTTACCAGAAAATGATCCATTCCATATGACCTGTGAACTGCCACTATTCCAACTTCTAACAATGATGTCAATGAGTCATTCTAGAATATTGGCATCCATCACCATCAGAGTGTCATATATGAACTCCCATCTCAACCTTTCATAGGCTTTTTGTAAATCATTTTTTATTATCATCCACCCAAACTTTTCCTCTTTCTTTCTGAATGAGTGCATAACTTCCTGCGTTACAATGATATTATCCGAAATTTACTTACCAGGAATAAGGTGACTCATAGTCGGCTTAAGCCGATTTGCAATAACCTTCATCAGGATCTTAAAAACAATAGGTAGAAGACTGATTGACCGAAACTGCGAAATCACCTCAGGGCATGGTATTTTAGGAATTAAAGTTATAATTGATTTACACAAATCATTACCAACATCAGCACCATTGAATACTTCTCTAGCACAAGACACCAAATCTTTCCCAACAATATGCCACTGCTATTGAAAAAAGATAGCCGGGAAATCATCACTCCCAGACGCTTCAAGAGGCTTCATCTCAAAAAGAGCATCATGTACCTCAGCTTCATCTACAAGCTGCACAAGATTGTCCCTCATATTTTCCTTTAGAGAAGGAAAAGCACCTCGAAAATAGAGGAATTATGTCATCCTCCTTTGAATATAGTTTACTAAAAAAATTCAACTGCATGGGACCTTAACGTATCCTCATCGTCACACTAATTGCCATTAGATAACCTGAGTCCAAGCATCTTTGATTTACACCTCCTTCTAGAAGAACGAATATGAAAGTATCTTATATTTCAATCCTTCACTTTAAACCAACCAAATTTACCTTTTTATATCTACAAAATCTCTTCTTATCTCAAAATAGTCTCATACTCGAGTCGTAAATTAAACTCTAGCTCTCTTAGAATGCCTGCTTTCTATGGCTTTTTCCACACCATTGAGTCGAGCCA